CGTGTAGTATTTGAGTCACATATAAAACTGATTAGTATACCCATTTTAATGGGTTGTAAATATAACATGTCTCCATGTACACTGAATGATTGTTTTAAAATTTAGATTGATATAAAGTTGATATAGATATAATTCAACTGTAAAAACTTAATTCCTTTTTTTTTTAGATAATATTATGATTGAAGTTCTAAATTTTTAATGGATAGAGAATGAGTTAACTTAGATGAATTTTTTTACACAAATCAATTTTAAATTAAGTATAATTTATTATTCACATTTGTTATGTCAACTTAACACAATATATTAAATTTTGTATTTCATATACTAATGAACTATCAAACTAGATATAATACTAATTTAAAAAATATAAATAATGATAGATTATTTTACCTATCCTGAATAATTTTGCAATCAAAATTTTGATAAAAAACTGGTTGCCCAACAATAGAGACACATGTATCTACTAATTCTATCACATTCCTAATTATAAGATATAACATTGATATTGATTTATTTTTTTCTATGTTAGAAACAATCATATATAATTTATAACAACTAATCAAAATATTACCGGGAAATTATTTTCCCTTCCCTCCATCCTATTCTCACCCAAATTATAATGCCCTTTCCAACCTCACCTTTGCACAACTGTAAAACCCTCCACTCTCCCACTCTAGCTTAACAAGATTTGCAGAAGCACGAGATTCGCCACCCATGAGCCGAAACGCAAGGGAGGCATCAAGATTTGACTCAGGGCTGCTTCATTGGGGTATTGGTTGGAGGAGCGCGTGAAGAAGACAATTAGCGAGACCCCGTTTGTTGCCTATTCCAAAACCTGGTGTTCTTCAGACACACACACACACACACACTCACACAGAGGGAGAGAGAGAGTTTCAGTGTAGTTGTTGCCATTTATCAGATTTTCTCTTTAATTGGGAAATTTTGACGAGATTTATAAATGTACGACGAAGTTATTCTAAGGTGAAATCCTTGTTCAATCGACTCGGATTTTGCTTTTTATTTTTCTCTTTCTAAAATAACAATCTGCTGACCTTGACAATATGGATCACCAACAGCAGAAATAGATATATAGGTATATATAGGCAATCTTTCTATTTTAGGTAAAGGCAAACGCTGAGAAAATCAGGACTTGTTTGTAGGCCTGACATTAAACATGACTGAGGTTGTGACAGTTAGCGAATGGACTGAAGGACCATTCACCAGAGCAGGAACAAAATTATGGGCCTCAAGAGAAATCTCAGAACAAAATACATGGGATGTAATTGGTTCTTTCCAAAAATTGGTAGAGAAGATAAAGAAATGGTTCCGAGAGAAAAGCTGACACAAAAGTTGCTTTTCTTATGTAGCCTTTTATCTGCTGTGCCTTTGTTCTACTTTTAATGTTCAAACATGATCAACAAATGATCAAATTACTTCACATTAACCTCATTCATCGCCAGTAATTCTTTTTTCTCTCAGTAGTGCAATAAATCTCATAAGTCATAAAAAAGTTGTAAATTGAGATTTTGTGTTTGTTTTAATTTACTGGCAAGTCGGAATATATTTTACTTATTTATGACCAACGAGCCAGGATCATCTTGCCACAAAAATCAGCTTATCAGTTTATCATCTTGCCACAAAAGTCATTTTACTTTATCCCTTTCAAGAAATGAATTTGGAATTAGAATAACATAATTTTTGAATAGCATGAACTGAAAAATTCGTTAGAAAAAAAAAAAAGAAAAAAAACAGAATTTGGGAGTCAATCTTGTTAGGGCCCATGGTGCCATTTATTGAGACCAGTACACCTACAAGATAAAAATAGACATAGAATAAATTTAAAAAAAAGTAAACTCACTTTCTATATAAAAAAATATTTTGCTCCCTTAAAAACATGAGAGACTCTCTTTCTGTGTATTTTTTTCTTCCTCTCTATTAGTTTGGTGCATTGAGTGAGGAGCGCTTAGCACTGCCCACCCACTGAATGCATTTGTCAATAAAGGCTGCAACTATATCAATTACGGCTCCTTTCTTCGAAAAGGTTATGGCTCCTTCCCTTCTAATAATAAAAAAAGGGTGCAATTGGTCAAAAATAACTTGCAGCTGCGAGCCATTCCCATTGTCTTCTTTTGCTTATGGGGCTGGATTGTTTCCTTTGTCAAGGAGTTTGACCCCATAAATCTTGTATTGTTAAAAAATTGACTTCAAGAACAATTCAGAAAAAGATGCATTACAATATTAGGCAAGATAGCATGCCAATCATTTATTATGAAAATATCCAACGGAAAGAGTCTATAAATGAACTAATATGAGCAATGTGATAACATAAATTACTGCCTCTAACTTAGAATATTGAAAAAAATTTAAAATACTCATATTTGTAACATGCTCACAAAAATATATAAGTTTGAGACTTTTGATTAATAGACTAATTAACATGTTCTTCACGATAACATTCTCTTTCTTTACAAATTTCTCATTATCAGACGTCTTAGTTCTAAACCCCTAATTCCATTAGATTTTTTTTTTGGGTAAAGAATACAATAACACATTTATCATAAAGATATTCAATGGTTTGGATATGGAATCAACAATCTTTAATCCCAGAGTAGGACTTTTCAACTAAAATATTTACTTAACAGCACCATAATAGATAGTATATTTAACTTGTGCTGTAAAAGAAAAAAAAAAAGCCATTATAGTTTACGTCACACTTTTACTTTTCAAAGATTTAGCAATCCAATTTAAGGAAAGATATATATTTGAAATAGATTTTAACTTATCAAGGTACCTAGTAAGATTTAAATTTGTATATCCAATGTTGATTCTTTGTATTAGACAAAAAGCGGTCGAAAAACTTCAACTATATATGTTATGCCCCATTTAGGGCTAGCCTGTTATATATTTTAGATGGAAAGTGAACCTTCAAAATTAGATCAAAATGCATTTGTCGCGAGTTTTAGTATTTAGGTGCAAGAGTTGCCATTTCTAAAGCACTGCAGATCTATGTCAGAATAATTGAGACAATGCAACACTAACACTTTGTGCTAGCCCACCTAAACCGGAATCAAATGATTGACCTTAAATGAACCTCCACTATATATAGGTAATAGAATGACCGACGTCAAGGTAACGTCCAACAGATAGGGCCGATTAGTGAATAAACACAATCCACCTAAGGATTGTGTTTATTCACTAGTTGCTCCTATATAGTGGAGGTTCCCTTGAGGTTAGTCATTCTATTCCCTGTGTAGTGGATGTTCATTTGAGATTGGTTATTCAATTCCAGTTTAGGTGGACTAGCACAAAGTGTTAGTGCTGCAATGCACCTCGGTTATTCTAACATGATCTGCGGTGCTCCAAAAGTAGCAACTCTTATGCCTAAGTACTGAAACACACGACAAGTGCATTTCAATCTAATTTTGAAAGTTCACTTTTTCTATTTAGAATGTTTACTCAGATTTGTAGTAAATTGGACATAACATACATGGGGGATTTTCAGCAGTTTTTTTTTTTTGTCTAATTCAGAGAATTAACATTAGGTAAGTATTTTGATAATTTAAAATCTATTTTAAGTATATACTTTATTAAAACATGAGTAATGAATCTTTGAAAAGTGCGAAGCACACTGTAACAACCTCTTTTAACCTCTTTTATTGTGCAAGTTGAATCTATTGCCTATTATGGTGTTTTTAGGCAAACTGTTTGGTTGAAAAGTCTTATCATGGGATTAAAATATGTTAATTTTATTTCCAGACCACTAAATATTTTTTATGATAAAATTACTATTGTACTCTTTACAAATAATAATAAAATATAAAGTGGTTCTAAGGGTTGAGGGTTTAGAGGCGAAATAGCTAACAGTTAGAAATTTGTAAAGAAAATAAACCCCCGCTGATTAGCGCTGATCCACATTGAATTCAAAGATTTTTTTTAAATATTCTACAGTAACCAGTCAATTGAGTTTCACTTGGTTGAGTTTCAACAGTAAATTTCTTGCCCTTTTTGAACAGTGACTCTAATAATCCTTATAACTTGATATATGAAGAGCATTAGGGATACAAAATAGAGTCTCGGTTTTCGTGTAACTCATGGATATATGATTTTGTCTAGGACGCAACAAAAGCTCTAATATCACTTGTAAGAATAATTCGGAATTGCATAGATACTGAACACTAATTAAATAGAAGGATTAGAATGTATCTGTTACCATTAAATCGATTATCAAATTGAGAATAACTATCGGATTTAAAGTGGTATCCAATTATTCACCAAGAATTATATTCTTTTCTCTTGTATTTTAAAAGCAATTGTAAATATGAATAATTGTTTTAAGAATGTCGAGAAGATTTAAATACTTATTTATAGATTCAACTATCTCAGTCATCATAGGACTTTTGATTTTAACTTACACTATTACTGTCTAATATCTTACAACAATATACATATGCTTCATGTATGAAATTCAAATAACTAAATCACTAAATATTGATTAAAATCATCCACTTCAATTAATTTTTGATAAAAATAAAGTTAGACTAATTAATGTTAGTCTAATAAAAAATTCTAACAGTTATCACATCAATCATAGAGCATCAATGAATTTCACTCTTTAACTAAATACCAAAGTTTTGAAAATTGGAACCAAACTAATTTTTTTAATGGGGACAGCATTGCGATATTTTTCCGTTAACAAAAAATCAGGAAGGAAAAGCTAGAAACCCCACGAAAACACCAATTTGCCCCAATCGTCAGCACAAACTTCAGGTTCTGGTGCACCAGGCGTCGGACCCATGATCAACGTGCGGAAATTTAAATAAAGCAAAACTTATCTGACACCTCATCACTGACGTAATGATCCTAGTACTCCATTCTCCGTGCCCACGTATATAAACCTCTCCCCGGCCTTGAAATTTCCATAAGTTGTTACTACTTCAAACAAGAGCAAAAAGATAGCCACTGTCTTCTTTTATACCGTCCTCCCAGCCCCCGAATTAAACATGGATTCAGTAGCTGAGATGGTGAAGCTGCGTCGCATCCTCCTGGTGACATTTCCAGGGCAAGGCCAAATAAATCCGTCCCTCCAATTTGCCAAGCGGCTTGTAAGAATGGGGGTGGAGGTGACCTTTGCAACCGCCTTCTCCGCGGTCAATCGCATGTCCAAGAGTACCACTTATCCTCAAGGTTTGAAGGTGGTGGGCTTCTCCGACGGACATGATGATGGCCTCAAAGATGAGATGGACTACGAAGCATATATGGCAGATTTGAGGAGGCGTGGATCCGAGGCAGTCGCACATCTCGTCACTTCCGAAGCCCAAAAATCCCTGCCGTTTGATCATGTAGTCTACACCATCCTCCTCACCTGGGCGAGGTGGCACGTAATCTTCGCGTGCCATCCACTTTTCTTTGGATTCAGCCTGCTGCCATGTTGGATATCTACTACTATTACTGCAATGGATACGGGGACGCCCTTAAAAAAATCAGCGGCTCTGATTCGTTGTGCGCGGTTGAGATGCCAGGTCTCCCACCTCTACGTGGCCCTGATCTTCCCTCCTTTGTCCAAGCTACTAATTGGTACAAGTTTGCACTTCCATTATTTAAGGAGCATTTGGAGATTCTTGAATCAGAAAATAATCCGAAGGTTTTGTTGAACACTTTCGAAGCCTTGGAACCTGATGCCCTCCGAGACGTGGAGAAGCTCAATTTGGTTGGTATAGGACCACTTATCCCGTCGGCTTTCTTAGACGGGAGAGATCCGTCCGACACTTCATTTGAAGGAGATCTCTTCCAAGTATCGAGTGATTACATTCAGTGGTTGAATTCAAAGCCACAAGGATCCGTCATATACGTAGCTTTGGAAGCTACTCGGTGTTACCAAAGCAACAAGTGGAGGAAATTGCCATTGGGCTGCTAGAAACCCACAAGCCATTCCTGTGGGTGATAAGGGGCCATTCAGAAACAAAGAAGGATGAATAGAAGTTGAGGTATGAGCAGGAGTTGGGAAGACAAGGGATGATAGTGCCGTGGTGCTCACAAGCGGATTCTGTCGCACCCTTCGGTGGGATGCTTTGTGACTCATTGCGGGTGGAATTCTTCTCTCGAGAGTTTGGTTTTTGGGGTTCCGGTTGTAGCTTTTCCACAATGGACAGATCAAACCACTAATGCAAAGCTCATTGAAGACGTGTGGAAGACCGGAGTGAGGGTGGTGAAGAACAAGGAAGGAATAGTGCAGGGTGGTGAGATTATGGAGTGTATAAAAATGGTTATGGAAGAAGGGAGAGGGGAAGAAATGAGAATAAATGCAAAGAAATGGAAAAAATTGGCAAGGAGGCTGCGCAGGAGGGCGGATCATCGGACTTGAATCTGGGTGCTTTAGTGCATCAAATCAAGCCGTTCAATTAGAAAATTACCTGCTTTTATTTTTATTATTATTCTCTAAATAGCTGATTCGTTGTAGGAAAAGTTTTTCTCACATCGCAATAATTAAGTGAGAGCTTCGCGGAACTTGGTGACCCTTCTTCCCCCCGTAGTTCCGGTTGTAGGAAAAGTTGTTTGTGACGTCGCAATAACTGAGAGCTACATGAAACTCGGTGGCCCCTTGGCCCCGTTGTTTGGTGGTAAACAGGGTCGTCACCCACTACATGTACGCTAGATTTTTCATCGTCACTATCTGCTATTATTTTGATTAAACTTTTAGTTTGCGAATTCTTGTTCGTTATATCTTTTATGAATTTTTTTTTTCTATAATTTACTAACTACCAGACAGATGAGAAGAAAACTAAATTTTAGGGATCTAAAAATAAGTTGGAAAGTGAAAAGAGTAGCGTCAACATCATTAGTAGCATAAATACAGAGGGAGATAAACTCAGAGAGAGAGAGAGAGTGTACAGGAGGTTCAGAGACTTGAGTCAAAAGTTCAAAGAATTTCCAGGAAGTTCAGTAGCTAATCCATGCCCTCCAAATTCCAAACCTGCCTTTTCTTTTATTTCATTTTACTAGCATTTTGTTTTCGCAGTGTGGCTGGATTGGTTACAACTTTGAGTTTCAAGTTTTTGTGAGTTGGATCTCTCTTATGTTCTTTTCCATTCTTTATCATCTGTTTAAGCGTGCTCGTGTTTATTTCTCTTTGAGCAAGTGTTTTAGCAGCAACTAGCATTGGGTGCTTTCTTCTTGTTCTGGCTTCTGCACTTCTGGATATTGATAAATCATTCTATGATCGAATTAACTGTTACATTTCCTTACTAAATTTTTACTCTAGCATCTTACAAATTTATTTTTTTTTTTATGATGTGTAAGAAAAAGTATAATTGAAACTTAAAAGTATAGAGAACAACATGAAAATTTGCAAAGTGTCAGAAACTAGAGTAAAATTTTCAAAATGACCTATCTCTAATTTTTTGAATATAAACTCAGTATATGGAAGTCAAAATGGATTGATTCTAAAAAGGTTTGAAAGCTAATTTAAAGGGCTAGATTTTTTAAATTTCGGTTCAATCCGATTCAACCTACAGAAGGTCCGAATTGGACAAAATATTCAAGTTTTAAGTGATTGGATTTAAAAGAAATTCTAATCAGAAGCTTTAGTAAGTTTCGGGGTTATATCAGCAGTTACAAAAATATTGGATTGGTTTCATTCAAAAAAAGGGTTGACAAGCTCTTTTGAAGATCTTTAAATTTTATGGTTTGACCCAGGCCAATTTTTGAATGGAAGTTAGCTTAATTCAATCAGACAATAAACCCTAATTTTGCCGAGTCATCTGATAGCATTTAGGCCCAGTTTGATTATTTTGTTTTACAAAATTACGTGGGTTCCGGAAATTTCAGCTTTCAACTCTAACTTCTAGAAAAGCTCAAAAGCTAGAAAAATGCTTATTTAAGTCAAGTAAAGACATTACAAGAAAAATGACAACTTATGATGAAAAAAATAGGACTTTTTAATAGAATTTTCCACTGCCAAAGGTTTGTCCAAAATTTGTGTCTTGAAAAAATTTTCTAACAAAAAAGCTTGTCCGTAAAATATTTTTGATGGATAATTTTCTTAGAAATAAAATATTTTCTGATAAAAAATATCTAGTCAAATTCAAAAATTCCTTTGTCGAAAGCTCAAATTCCTGTGGAAAGATTCTGTCAGAGATTCTGACCAAAAAGTAATTGATGGCTGCTACAATGTTTGGGATTCATTAAATGAAATTGATAATTTGCCTACAATCCTCCGCAGTCGTACCCTATTTCAATCCCAGAGAACCCAGCGCTGATCTCAACTCCTCGTCTGTTATAAAGCTATGCTCGTTCTGGTCAAAGAAGTTAAGGGCCTCCCTCAAGTTGGCTTTTTCGTCCCTCCCCTCCACGAGTGTTCCATGAAGCTCTAACGTAGGCCACGCCAGTGAAAGAGAGAGGCTAAAGGATAGTGAAGACTACCTTTCGAGTCTTCTATTCCACTGAGAAAAAGGCAATGGACGAAGGAATAACCTCGAGCGTGCAAAAATGCTCAACAAGTAAAGCCAAAACCAGCAGGTCTGATTCATTTGTAGCCACATAACGTGGCAAGATGTACGAGGATTAGGAAATTTTAAAGTAAAAGAGGCCCACAAGATGCAACTGAGTTTGATTTGTTTTGAGTTTGAAATTTTTTTATTCTTTGATAAATAATTCTATTTGGCAAATTTTTCAAGTTAAAACACAAAAATAATTTAATTGTTTATTTAAAAAAAACTGGAAACTTTATCATTTTTATAAAGATATAAGACAAAATATAAATACGATTTATAAATTTAAAAAATAAAAAAATACCTAACAAAACACACCCACGAAAAATCTCGTCCCGCCCAGTCTCCCCCCTCTCCCAAAAAAAAAAAATATTAATGATGACTGATCTACTATCAAGTCTCTTTTTGTGTTAAAAAAGACTATTTCTTGTCAAACAGGAACTCTTGGTCAAGTCAAAAGACTACAATGTTCCTTCCTTATTCAGTAATTTTTTAACTGTAAATTGGATACAAAATTAAAAATATATAAATTATTAAAATGTTTCAAATCTATATCCAAACCAAGTTCCACTTAGCAGGTTTGCAGATGAAGACGACTTTGGGGGTGTTGGATCAATTGCAATAGGGGCATTGATAGTGGCAGTGAGGCACAAGGCACTGCCAATCTTGCTGGATGTCATTTTGAGAAGTAAGGGGGCTGAGAGGGAGTTGAAGAGCAATCTCTGCAAGGGGTTGAAATCTTTGTCGGGAAGGAGACGAAATTGGATAGACTATGGCTATGTCTGAAGAGAAAGAAGACAACAGGTTTGTAGCAATGGGGCGAGGTCCAACTGCAGTGATAAGGCAAGGTGTCAATAGCTGTGGTGAGGGACAGGGCAACACCGATCTTCGTTTGGAGAGGTATAGATGGAGAGGGAGGTAAAGAAAAATATTTGCGGTGGGTGATATCTCTATCAGAAAGGTGGCACAATTGGCCAAATTGTGGCTATATTGGAAGAGAAAGAAGATAATAGGCAGGAAAAGAAGACAACAGACAAAGGTATTTCAGCAAATCGGGATGACTATGTTGGAAGAGGAATAAGGTGACAGTAGAGTAGGAAGAGATAGAGAAGGAAGAAGCAGGATATTATTGTACAATTTCAATCCTCGAAAGCTTGAAATTTTATTAGACCTTTCTTTTAGATAATTTTATCTAATTTTAATAGAATAAGAGGGATAGAGAAGGTTAGATAGGACAAGTTGAACTTTATTCTATTAAACTATATCCATGTACTGAACAAATGATAAGATAATATAATTCTGTCTTATTTTATCTTATTTCCAAATTGAACGGAACCTTATGTGAAAATAGATTTCCCTGCTCCAACTAAGGATATGTTTGGTAACTTCACATTCATAGAATTTTGAAGTCATACATCTTGGTTCTAAATAAAATGATAATAACAAAATTTGAAATTAATGGACTAAAATACAATTCTTTGTAAAACTTCTTTTATTCATAATAATTATTTTTGAATTCTTTGTAGCTTTGTCAATTTTATCTTAAAACCATTCTTTATTATATCAAAAATATATCTTACCTTTCACTTATTTCTCTTGAAACTACTTCTAAATGTCTCTCTCGCGCAGATAAGCAAAGTACAAATATTGAGAAAATTAAATAAAAAATTATTATTTACCTATTTTGGTAAAATGTGAAAACACTCGAGTAGTCAAGTCCTCCAATATTGCTGGAAGGAGAACAAGACGACACAATTAATAAGGAGAATAAGATGATATATAGACTAATAGTAATTAATTTAACATTTTAAACCATTTAATTTTATTATTTGTTTTATTGATATGAAAGAGATATTTTAGATAATATAAATGAGAGATTTATCATAAAATATAAATTAATATAATTTTTAATGAACTAAAAGGTAAAATATATAAGTTATAGAAAACTTTAGTAGATATTTGTTAGTAAAAATAAATGAGTGATCTTATATATAAAGTGGGAATAAAAATTGTATAGGGTATAAGAAAAAAAAAAAAAAAAAAGGGATTTTGCTAGATTTAATTTGACCCCCTCCTCAAAAAAAATTAATTATATCCTTTGAAATGAATTCACTATATGAAATTACCCAATTTTCAATGAAAAATTACCGGTGAAAATAAAAATTGATGCATTTCTAACGATTTTTTCATCAAATAGTTTGTTAGAAAACATTTTCAATGGATAACCTGTAAGAAAAGAAGAAAGTCCATTGGAAAAAATGTTTCTGATGAATTTTCAGATAGAATAATCTGTCCGAATGAATATCAAATGTTTTTGTAATACCCCAAAATTTGGGATTAATTAATAAATTTGGAAACTTGAGGACTTAACTAAAAGAATTAGGAAGTTTCAAAACTTAATTAAAAGCAAAAGAGATGCAATCGAATA